GAACATAAGTAGTTTCAGGATCACTTCTTGATCATTTCTAGCTTCACGACCGCTTGTGTAGCCATGCCCGTTGCGTAGCTTCTCATCTTACTCTTATTTGCGTATGTTAGCCACCATATTTTGCTTACCGCTTGCTGCAGCTCCACCTCACTACCTTATCCTACCCATAATCTTAAATAGTCTTGATCTTGCGGTGTGAGATTGCTGAGTCCTCATGACTCATGGATACTTCCAAACAGTTGCAGGTGCCGATGATACCAGTCCAGACGATGCTATCGAACTCAAGTGGGAGTTCGACGAGGACCTTGGTCGTTACTATGTGTCTTTTTCGGATGATTAATAGTGGTGCCCAGTTGGGACGATCGGGGATCTAGCATTTGGGGTTGTCTTCTTTTATTTTGGTTCCGTAGTCAGACCTTGATTGTACTCTGGATGGTGTATGTTTAACTTGTTATTTGTGTGATGTGGCGATTGTAAGCCAGGTCTTTATCCCTTTCTTATTCAGTACATGGGATTGTGTGAATATTACCCCTCTTGTGACAAAACCACCATGCGGTTATGCCTTCAAGTCATGCCTCGACACATGAGAGATATAGCCGCATCGTGGACATTACAGCGATGTTCGATTGTTGTGGGTGCATTATGTTATTGTATACCATGTGAGAAATGAATCGAATTTGGCTGTACTAAATACATGAGAAATAAATACAATTGCTATATTTTCAAGTTGTTAAGCATGCTTGGTTTGGTTAACTGTCTAATCTTCTATTAGGAGTATGTTATATTGTGCAATGTGGTGCTCAGTTAACGTTTGGTTCATTTGTTGTGGTGTTTAGTTAACTTCTTTGTTTGGTTCAATTCTACAATGCGATGTTCAATTGTTGTGGATGCATTATGTTATTGTTTACCATGTGAGGAATAAATTGAATTTGGCTATACTAAATACATGAGAAACAAATACAATTGCTATATTTCCAAGTTGTTAAGCATGCTTGGTTTGGTTAACTGTCTAATCTTCTATTATGAGTATATTATACTGTGCAATGTGGTGCTCAGTTAATGTTTGGTTCATTTGTTGTGGTGTTTAGTTAACTGCTTGGTTCAATTCTGCAATGCGATGTTTAATTGTCGTGGGTAGAATTTTGTATTGTTGTGCATGTGAGGAATAAATCGAATTTGGCTGCACTTAATACATGAAAAACATATACACGTGCTATATTTCCTATTTCTTAATCATGCTTGGTTTGGATAAATGGGTTTTCCATGTGGCTTGAATTAATCTAATGAATCTGCAATGTGCTTATTTTTCATCAACATATTTTACTGATAGCATGCAAACACTTACTTAACCTGATGACTAACTATCTTATATGTGTTGCTGGGAAACAATGAGAAGCACTGAGGTTTACAATCGAGGTTAGCATGTGCATGGTCTGTTGTCTAATAGCACATTATTGTGCAATTGCAGGAACCATTCTAATATTTAGGTTTTTAATAATTTGGTCTTGCACATGTAGGTCATGCTGTCAGAGGTTTTGACCCACTGTTCGACCCTTTTTGCATATGGGGAAATGGGTTGCCCATGAATATCAGTCAAGTCAAGAAACTCGGAAAGATTGTTAGGATAAAGAAATTATCGACAGAAAACAACAAGATCTTTGTCTGCACAATGAAGAAGACATTAGTTCACTACAAGATGGTACTAACTATTATACCTTGCCTTTTTTATTCATTTGCCCCATTTCCAATATAGAGAAGATATTTATGCACATCCTTGTTTTCAGGCCTTTCCAAAGCAGTTCACTGATGATTACCTCTCAAACCACCTGTATGGTCAAGAGGCAAGAAAGGTATTCATACAACACCCACGGTTCAATATTGAAGTGTTTCTGAAGAGGACGAAGGATGGACGGTCAATCATCCACAGTCACTGGCCTAAAGTTACAAAGACCTTCAACATCAATGAAGGCTCAATATTCGCCTTCTGCTTTAGCAGTTTTCCAGATGAGATACATCTGTCTATGTACCGTTTATGATGGTAATTTCGAAAGGTTATAGATGTTGCATGCGAAACTTGTTGCTGGGTAGTTGTGTAACGGGGTAGCTGAGTGTTGAAGCTATATGATGTTGTACTCTGATGTATTTCAATTATAAAAATGAAATATATTGTGTGCTTAATATGAAATGTCAATTAGATTAATAAATGGATTATTAATAATCAGATAATTAGTTTGCTAATTGGCTTTTATATTGCAAACGGTTATTGAGAAAACACCGTGTGTAATGCATTCAATAACGCACACAGTTTTTATGAATAAACCGTGTTAGATTAATGAACAATCGCACATGACATCCTCTTGAAAATTGTTTGTGTTAGGGAGCTGACGCAAATGTTTACCACATAAAAATTGTGTGTGATGGACAGCCTTTGCCACACAATTTCTTCTACGCACCATGTGTGATGCATTCAATAACGCAAACGATAAAATTGTTAATATCGTGTGCAATGGCAACGCTATCACAAACGATTTAACGAGGAAAATTGTGTGTGATGTATCTGTTGATGGAAACGTTTTTCTTGGAGCGACTGTGTGGGATGTACATACGATCGGAAACAATTTCGCCTATATAATTATATTTTTGGCTCTACTGTACGTATTTCCGTATTTGAGCGTTCGCCGGTCGCACACGACCTTATTTTGCCGAGCGTGTGTGCCAGGAGGGCATATTCCCGACGGTTTCTGGGTCGTGTGCGAAGGACCCCCCCCCCCCATCACCGTCACTCACTAGGCGACGGTTCAAATGCCATCACGAAAAGGGGTTAAAAACCATTTGTATAGCACTTCGCTGTACTAGTGTTAACTTGGACAGTGTTGCCCTTCTCCTGATTCCCTCTCTTGATCCCTTACGAAGGTGAGCTTTTTTGCTTTTGCTTCATGGTTTGGGGTCTTTCTATTCACATCTGAGATCCAATCCCATGGGGTAGAATTAGCAGAATAGGGGGAGGCGGCAAGGTACGATACGACCGCTGGTATGGGAGCATGCGGTTACCATGCACTCTCTTTTCTTCTGAATCACCAAACGTGGCTTGGTTTCTCCCCACTTGATCATATCCATATGGAAGGATTTTATGACGTCCAATTAGCATATTTTACACCAAAATAGGTGTTCTCCAACCAATGCTCAAATCTCCTACTTCTTTGGAATCCTGGTGAAGTGTGACAAAAGGGCATGTGAACACGGCAAAACACGAAAAATCCTATGACTAAGATTAAAAAAATTAAGGTGAAAACTAATGCAAAATGTACTCATCAATCTCCTAGCAGGTTTTGAGCGTGACGAGGAGACGATGCAATCTTTTCTTTCCATCTCATGCAATACAGGAAAGTCGTTCGTTGTGTAAACATATTTTGACAAGTTGTTTCGTTCCTTTTTCGATATCTACTTTGGAGTCCCGCCATGTGGTCTTGGAAGGAAGTAGCTGGTCGGTTCTCTTGGAGAAAATGCTTGGCCTATTTTTGGAGGGGCCTACTTAGTAAATGGATTCTCTATGGATGTCTCTCGATGATGCTGAAACATAAACACACACATTATCCTTGGCTTCTCCAGTTCCTTTTCAACCTCAAGTTCTCCTATTGTGAGATCAATTAGAGGTCTAGTGTTTGTCTTTGATGTACCCTTTGATAGTTGATAATGAAGATGCACACTGGTCACGTGTGTTACTGAGAGGGTAGCGTGGTATCCCCACCAAAAGGAGTTCACCACGTGTCACATTTCTTCAAGAGATTTGCCTCGCCTTTATCAATGGCGGCGTTTCTTTGTATTTTTGTTTAGTGTGCTACCAAGTGGATAGCGCTGCATCCCCAGGTAAAGGAATTCATCATGTGGCACATATCTTCGAGAGGTTTCTTCTTATCTTCATCAAGGGCTGCGGTCTTTTGTATTTTCTCTATGTAAGCCTTGTGCAATTTCTATGGGCCTTGGACTAACGAAAGCATGTTTGCTAAAATAAAGCTATACTTTATGATACAATCACTATTGAGCCACTAGTAATGCACAATAATACACTAAAATTTACTAGTTGAACCTTACGAAGAGTATACGGAAAGAGAACAGGTAGTGTTCGTAAGTTTTGTTTAGATTAGTGTTCGTAAGTTTCAATCAACAGTTTTGCTTCTTCTTCTACCAAAAATATGATATGTAATTTGCATACTCTAGTGAAGAAAATCAATCTGCTAGGGTTTTCTCGATGACTGATTACTGGCCAACAACTAATCAACAGTTTGATTAGATAAAAACGAGTTTGGTTAGTTGGTCAACTCCAGAGAGAGATAGTGCCAATGTACTATTGAGCGGTGTGCACTAGACTACAAAGCTTTCAGGTCCGAGGGCCGAGGGAACTCGCTTCAAACACTTATTTTCCCATCTAGCAACTCCACTCTCTGGCCAAAACACTCATCGCCACCATGGGCGACGGCGCCCCCTCCCACCCCACCCGGCGCTACAATGGTGAGGATCGCATCAGCGCCCTCCCCAACGACCTCCGTGGCCACATCATCACCTGCCTCCCTTTCACGGACGCTGCGCGCACTGCCGCCTTCGCCTCCCACTAGCGCCAGATCTGGCGCACCACCCCGCTCGTCCTGCGCGAGGCCGATGCCCACCTCCCTGAGGCCACACGCGTCGCCACCATCGCCGGGGCCCTCGCCGGCCACCCAGGGCCCTTTCACACCGTCAGCCTCTTAGGCTGCAGGTCCGCCTCCCTGGATCTCGAGCTCCCCGAGTGGCCGCGCCTCCTCGCCACCAAGTTCACCAAGAACCTCTCCTTCCTGAACAACCAAACCCAGCCCCGGACCACCTTGTCGTCCCTCCCTGCCGACATACTCCGTTGCGGCTCGCTCCAGTCCCTCTTCCTGGCCTACTGGAAGATCCCCGACGACCTTCCGCTCGCCGCCGACGCCTTTCCCAATCTCCGGAGGCTCGGCTTGGTAAGGATCGACATGAGCGACCAGTGCATCCACCGCTTGCTCGCTGCTAGCCCCGTTCTGGAGAACCTTGGGCTCGTGCTCAAGGGGAAGCCCGAGCGTGTCCATGTCTGCAGCCAAAGCCTCCGGTGCTTGCTCCTTGGGTTGTCCAAGGTGGAGGAGTTCACCGTGGTGGACGCCCCGCTCTTGGAGCGCATCATCTTCTTCAGGCCGCCTTATGGTGGAACCGATTGCGTGAGATTCAAGATTGCTTCGGCACCCAAGCTGCGGGTGATCGGCTACCTGCAGACAAGAATTCACAAGCTGCAGATCAGTGACAACATCATCAATGTACGACTGCCTTTCCTTCTCTCCCTAGTTTTGTGGAACTATTCTTATTTTTTGATGAAAAGGGGTCTCCCCCCGGCTCCATTCATAAGAAAGAAACCATATAACTCGAGTAATGTTTATGAAAAACTCTCTAAGATCACAGGGAGGCCTAAGCACCTCACTCTAAAATCCTGAATAGACTTTTGTCTATCACGTCAAACCCACGGGAGGGATACTAGAAACTAGGGGGAAGCATAGTAATGTTGATAAAGGAAAACAGAATAACAAAACATTCTACTTTCATACTCTTACATGGGTAACAAACCCAAGTCAGGCAAGCAGGTCCGTGAAGAAGCTCAGCAGATCCCTAAGAACATCACGGGGATAGAATCCTTCTCCTCTTTATGTTTAAGCTGGTACTCGATTGTGGTTCTTCCTCCATGAGTAGTTGTTCCCACCACTTCTTTCCATGACATTGTCACACTTGATTTTCTGCAAACTTTCAGTTTGGCTCCATAGCAAAGGGACCTTTCAGCCTTCCCCAGAGATGATTCTGGAAATCCATCAAGGCTCCTCCTTACAGCTCATGAAACGGTTTTGTCCAGACTCTCAAATATTGGGAGACTAGGCCTAGCACCTATTTTAGAGAGATCCATTAAACTCTGTTAAATACTATAGAGTTTCTAAAGTTCCACAGCCCTACAAGATTGCAGATGTAACTGCATTCAAGTGAATGTATCTTTTATTACACAGCCACAACTTAGCAACAGATTCAAAGTTAATGATTGGCACCTGGAAAAGCATTTCAACATCTTCCCAGATTTTCCTAGCTACAATACATTCAAAAAAATAAACGATATACAGTTTCTATCTCTTTGCACTGAACACACTCTAGGGGTTTTGCCATCCCCCTTTTCCTTAGATTGTCACAAGTCATGATATTGTTCTGGGAGAACAGTCAAAGGAAACCTTATACCCTAGGGGCACTTTAATACTTCATATTATAGGAAGATACAAAGGTTTCAGCCCCCACCCTAAAGTTCACTAGAACATATAGAGATTTAGAAGAGCAGGTCCCTTTAGATTCATGCTAGCTAGGCAGGACCTAATTGGGGTAATTTTTCCTCTCCAGCTAGCTATTTTGGCTAAAATTTTATCAATAAAAGCTAGCAAATCTTCTCTGCTAATCTTGTCAAAAAGCAAAGCAATTCCTAATCTTCTCTGCTAATCTTGTCAAAAAGCAAAGCAATTCCTAAATACTTAATAGGGAAATCCCCAACTATGCATTGGAAAATGTTCACAAATAGAGTGAGATCATTAACTGTCAAGTTATTAGGGATAAGAGTACTCTTATGATAGTTAATTGTCATCCCAGCAATTTTTTCAAAACAGGTTAGAATCCATTTCAGATTCAGAGCAACTCCAGCATCATTTTCTAAGAACAAAAGGGTATAATTAGCATACTATACTCTTATAATAGCACTCTTATAATGGAACTATTCTATGACCAGTTAAAGAGTAATATGCATGTTCTTCTGGTGCATTGTACTGCAGCCTGACACAAACACGAGCCCAGGCACCATGGTCCCTAGTGTTGAGATATTGGCCGTGAAGGTGAACTTTGGTGTATTCTGGGAGGTGAAGATGTTGGCCAGCTTTCTAAGATGCTTCCCCAATGTCAGCACGCTGCACATCGAGGTCCTTGCGAATTCATCATTAAGTAATCTTACAACAATCATTTATTAGCAGCATGTTTGTATCTAACTGAGTTATGCACTCATTGGCATGAATTGCAGTCTGTACCGCATGATCCATCAGTAGCCACTCATGAACCCACTGAAGAGCACTATGCTAGGTTCTGGCAGGAGGCCAGTCCAGTCGAAAGCTTGAGGTTACATGTCAGGAGCTTGTTCATCCACAAATTTCGAGGGGATCAAAACGAGTTTGAATTCCTCAAGTATGTGGCCATGAATGCGCGGGAGTTGCGAGCTTTGCTGGTCATGTCGCCTGAAGAAAATTTTGCTTCGGCACTGGCAAACAAGGTGAATGAGATGGCAAACAAATTGGATCGTCCACGGTTTCAGCCATGGATCGCTCGAGGATTCCTGGAGGCACCTCGAGTACGGAATGCTTAGATCTATGCTAAAGTACCCTTTCTTAGTGTCGATGACCCATTTCGCTGGTGAAACCATGGCTGGGTATGTGTCTTCATGATCCCAACTTTGTTGGGAATCATTGACTGCAATCTACTTCAAGATCAGGATGTTTAGTTTATAAGGTGTGTGTTCTCCTAATATATGGTAGGTTTCAACATACCATGAGTATATTGTGAATAAGTCCTTTGATTTATCAGGGGCCGAGATTTTTAACTATACAAGACATCCTAGCAAAACAGGGAAATTGCGACTAGATCCTCGAAGAGCCAAACAAACTCAATCTCTAGCATGAGCCACCATCCTAGAAGCCTTGTGTAGATCACAAATCACATAGCTAAACCATCTCATGAATAAAACTTCTATCACAGTGCAAGACTGCAGAGAGACTACAGACACAATTGTGACGGAGAAGGAGCACAGGCTGCTAGAGAGTGATATGTGAAATCAGAAAGGAACCCAAGGAGAGAAGAAAGAGGCCATAGTCCTGTTACTGTAGGAAAAACGGCCTCGATGGTCGGCCTTCAAGCATTGGTTGGTTGCAACACCACCACCGAAAAGAATAATAAAGAAGAGAACCAGTACGCCGGCAAATCAACACGAAGATACTCAAGTTTCCTACCCCAAATCAAAAGGACCCGAGATAGTGCAGATACCACCCCCATATCCAACAAAGATAGTCAAGAGAACCACCGTTTCGATGGGAGATATGGATGGTACTTTTTCACTGCCATCATCATGAGAATAGAAGTCATGCACAACCAAAGACCTACCTAAGACACATAGATACTAAGCGCACACAAAATAAGGCCTTGAGACTCCCTTTCCTCTCACCATCACTTAGAAACCGATATAGGTGAGCGAAACAACGTGACACCAGAGTCCGAGGCACTTTCTCTATTCTCTTCTCAAGTCGCTTCTCGCGGCTACAGTTTCATGGGTTGTTTCTTCTCATATCTCCATCCTTTGGATGGTTAACTAATAGTTGCTAGAATTTGTGCAAATCATGATCACATAAAATTTCCCACTACTAAAGCATAAACTTGCAGGTTAAAAATGTATATGTTTAGTTAGTTGAGTATTACATCAAATATTTAGTTTATCGAGATATATGTATATATAGAGAATGATTTGGTGATGATTTTTGTTAGAAGTTGAGAATGTTAAGATGGTTTTTTTAGTTTAGACATCTATTTAGGAAACTTAATTGACATCTAAACATTCTCTTCCTAAAATAAAATAACTATGGAGAAATCTAGAGCATCTCCGGTAGATCACAAGAAAAGTCCCACCGTAATTGGTTATAGAGGCTTTCCCAATAAATTTATTGCGGTTTTCATGTTTGTTGCTTTTACAGAGCACTAAAAAACCCCATCACCAATACTTAGCCTGGCATGTGGGTCCCACCTATTAGTGGCTAGTCTCTCCCTCTCTCGCGTGCATGAAAGACAATGACCGAGCTCCGAGCGGTGTAACACGATTGGCCTGCTGCGAAGTGGGGCAGGGGCAGGCAAGCGGTGCGGGTAATCAATGATGTAGGCGGGGCATGGCGTCCCGTCGATTGGCGACAGAGATGGTGTGATGTTTCTAATTATTCGCTCTTGCCAGTGTGGATGGTATTATAGGAAAAGATGCATCTCTCCCTTTATAAAAGGGAAATTTGGTTGTTTTGGGGTGATCACCAATTTTTGGGGGTGGGGCTGGGGGGATGGTTTTTTTAAGTATTATGGCATCCCTAACACATCCCCATAAGTGAAATTTAGTCCAAAATTTTGTATTTGGGGGAATTAAGCCTATTATAGCTCATCCCTCAAAAAAATAATTCTCCACACTTTAACTTTCCAATACCCATATCTCAACCACCTAACCCATATTTGCTCTATCAGCACCACATCTCAGTAAATTTAGGCTAGCGGGCGACCTCCCTGTTCGTGCCGATCACCTCGCTCCGCCGCCACTGATCCCCCGACAATAGAACCGGCCATGCCCCCTTTCCCGGTAGAACCGTGTAACGCCCCGAGGCCGTTGCGCCAGATGTCTTCCAGTTATTCGCTATTGTTGCCTTGTCATTTTTTTGGTGTGTCATGCATTTCATGTCATGTCATCATGTGCATCGCATTTGCATACATGTTCGTCTCATGCATCCGAGCATTTTCCCTGTTGTTCATTTTGCGATCCGACACTCCTATGTCATCCGGCGCCCTTTTTGCCTCTTTTTGTGAGCGGGTGTTAAACGTTCTCGGATTGGACCGAGATTTGCCAAGCGGTCTTGGTATATCACCGGTAGACCGCCTGTCAAGTTTCGTGCCATTTGGAGTCCGTTTGATACTCCAACGGTTAACCGGGGAACCGTAAAGGCCTTGTGTGTGTTGCAGCCCAACACCCCTTCAAAGTGGCCCAATAACCCATCCAAACCTCCTCCATCCTATCGGTCGTTCGATCACGATCGCGTGGCCAAAAACCGCACCTCATTTGAACTCTCCTAGCTCCCTCTACCTATATATTTGCCCTCTTCCCCGAAATTTGCGGATGAAACCCTAGTCTCTTTCCCTCCGCGCCACCGGACGTGTCCACTCCGCCGCCGGACGCGTCCGCCGCCGCCTCCCGACCAATCCAGGGGCGCCACGTGTTCCCCGCCGTCCTCACCGCGCCTTCCGCCGTCGCCGGCCCGCACGGCCCGCAGCAGGCCCACGGGGCCCATCCCACGCCGCCGCCCGGCCCGCGCATCGCGCCACTAGC